TTGAAACCTACATTTTTTAGGTTTTTCTCTTAAATATGATAATTACATTTACATTTATCTATCTTATGAAATAATGAGAAAATAGTCATGTATACAACAAAAGAATTCTATTTTTGAATTTCTGTATTAGATCTGTATAACCACTATCCCGTATAAAGTATTTGTGCATTGAGAAAATTAAAGATGTGTTATTTTTCACTAATAAAACTGCTTTCTTGGACTGGAGAGATGTTTCCAAGGTTAAGAGCACTGGCTGCTCTTGCAGAAGACATGGGTTCAAATCCCAGCACCCAGTTGGAGGCTAACAGCTGCCTGTTGTGATGCCCTCTTCTGACCTCTAAAGACACTGCATAACATTGGTGTGTTTACATACATGCAGGCAGTACATTCATACACACACAAAAAAAAATAATAAAGAAAATATTTTTAAAAACTGCTTCCTGTGTCTTGATTTCAGAATAAAACGTGTGTCCAGACACTGGAGGGGCATGCCCAAAATGTGTCTTGTGCTAGTTTTCATCCTGAGCTGCCTATCATCATCACGGGTTCAGAAGATGGTAAGTTGGCATCTTTGTTTACTTCTGTGCTTGAAATTACTCACTGGATACTTGAACCAAGTGGTGGCATGCATTGCAGTGGGAGGTTTCTAGCAGTGTCCATATCTTGACTAGACTTCTAGACTAAAGATACAGAAGAATGAAGGGGCTTTACCATTATCATCATGCTAGTGTGTTTGCTCCTGTCATTTAAATAAAAGAATATCTAGACATTCTAGAGGAAAGCTGAAAAAGCCTGTGTGTCAGAGTCAGATAGACCTGGGTTCAAATTCAGGCTTTGCAACCTTACAGATGTATGGTTTGGGTAAATTAAGACATGAGGACACTCTTTTCTATCCAGAATTATATCGAGAGGGAAGGTGAAATCACATACAAAAAAAGTATCTGCTGGGGCTGGAGAGATGGCTCAGCGGTTAAGAGCACTGACTGCTCTTGAAGAGGACCTGGGTTCAATTCCCAGTACCCACATGGTGGCTAACAACCATCCGTAATTCCAGTTCCAGGGGAATCCAATACCTTCCTACGTGGGCATTGCACAACATAGGTGCACTTACACATATGCAGGCAATACACTCATTCACATAAAATAAAAATAATAAAA